CCCCCCGCTCAGCCCCCACTCCAGAAAACAGATAAAAGTGATTTTGGAAAATATAATAAATTCTCACAAGAATCACGTGAAATTTAAATCTCTCTGTCTCTCTCTACTTTTTTTCAACCGAAACGCAATCTCATTTACTTTTACTGTCACCGTCGAATTCCTTTTCCGTTTTTATTTTTTTCTGTCAAAAATGATTTTCGTTTTCCCACTAAGCATACAGACAGTGAAATGGCCTCTCTCGAGTGACACTCCGTCCCCTGACAGTCTCCTGAATACATACACACACACACACACACACATACAGATGGACAAGAATACGCGTTACCGAATTTTTTTGTTTTCTGTTCCCTCCGATTTTGACTCTCAGACCTATCCGTCGGACAGAGAGAGATTCAAAAAATGATTGTCTGACAATGTCTGACAATTGGCCGATGACGTCTATTCCTCTGCTTCACACGTATATATAAATACTTATAAATGTATACGATCCATTTGTGTATATGAAAATAAATATTTACACATGCACCAATCGATCCGCGTACTCCCGTCCAGAACGCGTTCCCCAGATGCCGATAAATTGGAGCAAAACCACGACCGAATTCCCATTCACCTTATACAACAAACCTTTGGCGAATTAAACACATCCATGCCACGCGTTCTCGTCTTTTCGTTCTCCTCTTCTTCCTTATATGAGTCATCGACTTCCTACCGCCGCCGGGGCTGCTGCTGTGCGTTGCAAAAGAATATTGTCCTGATTCAATTACACAACTCAAAATTTGTTCTCCCGTCTATTTGAGATCGTAGGCAAAAGTGTCGTATCTCCAGAGGCAGAGAATGTCAATGTGTTCAGAACTTAAAATGCGCTTTTCTATTCAAGGAACAAGATAATCTGTTGCCTGGATTAGATGTTAATTCACTTCTGTACACAAACAACTGAGATCTTATCGTGGGTTATGAAGAAATCCAAAGAATCTGAAATTTTGAATATGAACAGGATAGGCAGGTTTTGTCATTAGAACCTGATTTGTAAATGATTGATCCAAGAGGCCATGATACATCAAGCGTAGGAAAAATTTCAACCAACAAGTGTGTCACGTTCGAATTCCAACTGCGACGCTATGAAAAGTATTTTCGGGGGCCCGTAACCCTTCACAAGAAATCAGAACATACGAAACAGCGTGCTGATTGGAACAGGGTTAACGATTTAATGAATGATCGCGAGGGTACATGAATCAAATAAACCATGGCCCAAAACTAGGCCAATCTGGCGCACGGATAAACCGGATTGGAAGGGCATTAGTCAGTGTCTGCTATGAACAACTGTGTCACGTGATTAGACGATCAATGAAGACTTGGGGACAAGTACTTAAGAAGCACTGTACTACAACCGGGGTCCATCAGACTAAACCCAATTTGAAATTTGACGGATGATCAGGTCCCATTAGTCAATATCAATTATGCCGCACCACTTCTCACAACTAACTGTGATCTCGATGCCAACTGACCAATAGTGTTGGTGCTCAGCTCATCAGTGGACATGGATATTGATTTGTGGGGTCTTGTGTTCGCTGAGCTTGGCGTTTAGATCGCAAACGTTTCATCACCAGCCGAGGTGACATCGTCAGTGCGTTGGTAATGATCACTGTACTTGTCTTTATTTATAGTATTCCAACCCTAGTAAATAAATAAATACAAGAATGTGATAGAAAAAGAAAAATAGTTGTTTGAACAGACAGTTGATAGAGAAACTCTCATACAAATCGAAGCGGCCGTAAAAAGACGGGTTCAAAATTGTCAGAGGAAGAAAAAAAGCAGTCTTAGATAAGAAACTCCAGAAGCTTATGAAAGATATCGATGAAATTGGGAACAAGGCATGGGTTCAAAACCTGTCATCTTGGATGTAATCAACCGAAGAGGAGAATCTGCTCAGAAAAGGAATGAATTTCAACCTCGGAAACGCAACAACAAAGGACTACCTAGCCGAACTGGAACATGCATTCAAATCATCTGGATTCCCGGAAGAGTTCAAGTCCGAGTTCAGACAAGTCATAGTCTCGGCTATGCACCACAAACCACCGAACGTCACCCTCTCCAAAGCAGAACATGATGTACTGAAGAAACTCCAGAAAGACAAGAACATTATCATTCTATTGGCTGACAAAGGGGGAATGACGGTGGTTATGGACAAAGCCGATTATATTGAAAAGGCAAAACAAATATTAGAAGACATCACTACCTACCGATCCATTGATGCAGATCCAACCGCAAAACTGGTGAATAAAAGCAACAAAACTCTGAACAAATTGCAAGAATTGCAAAGGATAACCAAAGAGGAATGCCGGAGAATGCGAGCGGATGTGTCAAACATTGCACAATTCTACGGATTGCCAAGGAAGGAAGGTATCCCACTGAGACCGATTGTATCCTTGCCGGGAACCCCAAAGTACAATTTGGCCAAAGAACTGTGGAAATACTTAAAACCTCTCATAAGTGGATCGGAACATTCCATAACTAACGCCCGGCAATTTCTGGACAAACTGCAGAACATCAAATTGGAGGAAGATGAAGTCATGCTTTCGTTTGATGTCAAAGCTCTGTTCACTTCAACTGATTTGAATTTGGCCGAAGAAATACTGGAAAAGCTCATTCGAGAGCAACACCCGGATAATCCAGTGAGAATTCGAACAATTCGCGAACTGATGGATTTGTATCTATGCACATACTTCGAATTTGACGGCAAACTGTATCAGCAAATCAAAGGAACACTAATGGGATCACCTATATTCGGATTCCTTGCAGAAGCTGTGATGCAAGAGCTTGAAAATATTGCGTTACCAAGGATTCAACCGAAACTTTGGGTCCGATATGTTGATGATACCTTCGTTATCATTAACCAATCGAAGATCGAAGAGGCACAAACAACGATTAACAACATCTTCAACGGAATAGAGTTTACTATGGAAGAAGAAAAGGACAAGAAATTGTCA